GGGTCGTTTTTAGGGATTTTTGGGCTGGATTTGGGGTGGTTTTTGGGTTGATTTTTAGGGATTTTTGGGCTGATTTTTGGGGTGATTTTTAGGGATTTTTGGGGTGATTTTTGGAGTGATTTTTAGAAAATTTTGGGGTGATTTTTGGGCTGACTTTTAGGAATTTTTGGGCTGGTTTTGGGTTGGTTTTTAGGGATTTTTGGGCTGGTTTTGGGCTGATTTTTGGGTTGGTTTTTAGGGATTTTTGGGCTGGTTTTGGGGTGATTTTTAGGGATTTTTGGGCTGATTTTTGGGGTGATTTTTAGAAAATTTTGGGCTGATTTTTAGGGATTTTTGGGCTGATTTTTGGAGTGATTTTTAGGGATTTTTATGCTGATTTTGGGCTGGTTTTGAGGTGGTTTTTGGGATTTTTGGGCTGGTTTTTAGGGATTTTTGGGCTGATTTTTGGGCTGATTTTGGGGTGGTTTTGGGCCGATTTTTGGGCTGATTTTTAGGGAGTTTTGGGCTGATTTTGGGTGTTTTTTGGGATTTCTGGGGCTCCGTGCCTCACCGGTTTGCGCGGATCCTCGACCTCGCGGATGCTCAGGTTCTCCAGGGGGATGATCCCCCGCGGCTCCTTGTCCTGAAATTCCAGAATTCCGGGAAATTTCGGGAATTTTGGGGCGAATTTCAGAGAATTTTGGGATTTTTTTGGGAATTTGGGGTCCCAGGGAGGGATTTGGGGTGAATTTGGGGCATTTTGGGGCAGATTTCACCTCAGGGATGATCCCCCGCAGCTCTTTGTCCTGAAATTTGGGAATTCTGGGGAATTTTTAGGAATTTTTGGGGATTTTTGGGGTTTTTCCTGGAATTTTTGGGAAATTTTGAGGGTTTTTTTTGGGAATTTGGGGTCCCAGGGAGGGATTTTGGGGTGAATTTGGGGCATTTTGGGGCAGATTCCACCTCGGGGATGATCCCCCACAGCTCTTTGTCCTGAAATTTGGGAATTCTGGGAATTTTGGGGGATTTTTGGGGATTTTTCTGGAATTTTGGGGGAATTTCTTGGGTTTTTTGGGGAATTTGGGATCCCAGGGAGGGATTTTGGGGTGGGTTTGTGGGGATTTTTGGGCTGGTTTTGGGTTATTTGGGTGAATTTTGGGGTAATTTTGGTGCTTTTGGAGGATTTTTGGATGGATTTGGGGGATTTTGGGGCTCCCGAGGTGGATTTTGGGGTGAATTTTTGGGTTTTTGGGACATTTTTGGGGTATTTTGGGGCGGATTTTGAGGGTCTCCACGCGAATTTTGGGGTGAATTTTTGGGTTTTTGGGACATTTTTGGGGTTTTTGGGTCTCACCGTGGTGTACTTGAAGTAGTAGAGGCAGATTTGGGATTTTTGGGGTGAATTTGGTTTTTTTGGGTCATTTTCATTGAATTTTTGGTGTTTTTGGGGTATTTTGGGGTGGATTTCGATGATTTTGGGGGTCCCAAGTTGGAATTTGGAATATTTGGGGGTGATTTTTGGGTTTTTTGGGTCTCACCGTGGTGTACTTGAAGTAGTAGAGGCAGATTTGGGATTTTTGGGGTGAATTTGGGCTAATTTTCATTGAATTTTTTGTGTTTTTGGGGTATTTCGGGGCGGATTTCGATGATTTTGGGGGTCTCGAGGTGGATTTTGGGGTGAATTTTGGGGTTTTTGGGTCATTTTCGTTGAATTTTTGGTGTTTTGGGGGTATTTTGGGGTGGATTTCAATGATTTTGGGGGTCCCGAGGTGGATTTTGGGATATTTTGGGGTGAATTTTGGGGGTTTTGGGTCATTTTCGTTGAATTTTTGGTGTTTTGGGGGCATTTTGGGGTGGATTTCAATGATTTTGGGGGTCTCGAGGGGGATTTTGGGGTGAATTTTGGGGGTTTTGGGTCATTTTCGTTGAATTTTTGGTGTTTTGGGGGCATTTTGGGGTGGATTTCAATGATTTTGGGGGTCTCGAGGGGGATTTTGGGGTGAATTTTGGGGGTTTTGGGTCATTTTCGTTGAATTTTTGGTGTTTTTGGGGTATTTTGGGTCGGATTTTGACGATTTTGGGGGTCCCGAGGTGGATTTTGGGATATTTTGGGGTGAATTTTGGGGTTTTTGGGGTCTCACCGTGGTGTACTCGAAGTAGTAGAGGCAGTTGTCGGTCAGGATGAACCAGCGGCGCTTCCACGTCTTCACCCGCCCGCCTGAGGGGATTTGGGGGAAATTTGGGGGAATTTGGGGAGAATTTGGGCGATTTTGGGATTTCTGGGGTGGATTTTGGGATCCCTGGGGCAAAATTTGGGGGATTTTAGGGGGGATTTTGGGGGAATTTTCGGATTTTTGGAAGAATTTTCTGGAGGTTTGGGATTTTTTGGGGGGAATTTTGGGGGATTTTGGGATTTTTGGGGGGAATTTTGGGGGGATTTTGGGGGGATATGGGTGAATTTTTGGGGAAATTTGGGAGATTTGGGGGGAAATCAGGGGGGTTTTTGAGGGGTTCTGGGAATTTTGGGGAAATTCTCGGGGATTTTGGGGAATTTGGGATTTTGGGGAAAATTTGGGGGATTTGAGGGAATTTTCAGGAATTCTGGAGAGATTTGGGATTTTGGAGGGGATTTTAGGGAGATTTTGGGAGAATTTTGGGGGAATTCAGGGGATTTTAGGGGGAATTTTGGGATTATTGGGGTAAATTTGGGAGGATTTTGGGGCGATTTTGGGGGATTTTAAGGAAATTTGGGGGATTTTGGGGGGATTTGGGATCCATGCAATAAAATTTGGAGGATTTGGGAATTTTTGGGGGGATTTTGGGGCAATTTTGGGAGATTTTGGGTGGGTCCCAAGTGCTGCCCCTCCCCCACGCCAGCACTCACCTCCTGGGGGGTCCCAAAGGCGGCACCGGGGGGGATTTGGGAAATTTTGGGGAATTTTAGGAAAATTTTGAGGGAATTTTGGGAGGTTTTGGCAAAATTGGGGAGAATTTTTGGAATTCCGGGGGAATTTTGGGTAAATTTTTTGGAGATTTTTGGGAATTTTGGGGGAATTTGAAGGAAATTTGGGAAATATTTGGGGAATTTGGAAAAAAATTGGGAAAATTTGGGAGGAATTTGGGGATTTTAGGGAAGAAAAGGAAGAAAAAGAAACAAAATCATTAAAATTCAGCAAAACCAAACTGGGGAGATGGGGGGACTGGGAGGGGGCGTGGCCATGCAAAGTGGGCGTGGCTTTGTGAGATGGGCGTGGCTACACAGGTGGGCGTGGCCAGGGGAATGTCCCACCCACCCAACCCCATTAAAGGTAAAAAAACCACCAAAAATTTGGGATTTTCAAGCATTCTGAAGGGGATTTTGGGGGCGTGGCCAGGCGAGGGCGTGGCCCAGGTGGGGTGGGTGTGGCCAAAGTGTTGTGGGCGTGGCCAGAGCAATGCCCCACCCATTTTAACATCTTTAAACTCATAAAAATGCCCAAAATTTGGAGGTTTTGGGTATTTTGAGGGCGTGGCCAGGCGGGGGCGTGGCCCATATCCAGTGGGCGTGGCCCAGGTGAAGTAGGCGTGGCCAGGGCTGCATCCCACCCGTTTTCATCCACATAAAACCCAAATAAAAAGCCCAAAAATTCAGATTTTGGAGCATTTTGAGGGGGATTTTGGGGGCGTGGCCAGGTGTGGGTGTGGCCCATGTCCGGTGGGTGTGGCCCAGGTGAAGTGGGCGTGGCCACAGCCGCATCCCACCCACTTTCACCCACATAAAACCCAAAAAAAAAGCCCAAAAATTCAGATTTTGGAGCATTTTGAGGGGGATTTTGGGGGCGTGGCCAGGTGTGGGTGTGGCCCATGTCCGGTGGGCGTGGCCCAGGTGAAGTGGGCGTGGCCAGAGCTACATCCCACCCACTTTCATCCCCATAAAACCCAAAAAAAAAGCCCAAAAATTCAGATTTTGGAGCATTTTGAGGGGGATTTTGGGGGCGTGGCCAGGCGAGGGCGTGGCCCATGTCCGGGGGGCGTGGCCCAGGTGAAGTGGGCGTGGCCAGAGCTGCATCCCACCCACTTCGCTCCACATAAAACCCAAATAAAAAGCCCAAAAATTGCGATTTTGGAGTATTTCGAGAGGGATTTTGGGGGCGTGGCCAGGCGAGGGCGTGGCCCATGTCCGGGGGGCGTGGCCAGGCGCGGTGGGCGGGGCTTACCCAGCTTGAGCAGCCAGCCCTCGCGGTCGGGGTTGAAGAAGGTGTGCGTGAGGTCGTTGCCGTCGTCCTCGGGGATCTTGAAGGGCTCAGAGCGGATGCTCTCGTACAGGTTCTGGATTCGGGGGGAATTCGGGATTTTGGGGGAAATTCGGGGATTTTTGGGGACAATTCGGGGATTTTGGGGAATTTTGGGACAATTCAGGGATTTTTGGGGAATTTTGGGGTAATTCAGAGATTTTTGGGGAATTTTGGGGGAATTTCAGGGATTTTTGGGGGAAATTCGGGGAATTTTGTGGAAGATTCAGATTCAGGGATTTTTGGGGAAAATTTGGGGATTTTGGGGGAATTTGGGGACAATTTGGGAATTTTTGGGGACAATTTGGTGATTTTTGGGGAATTTTGAGAAAATTCAGGGATTTTTGGGGAATTTTGGGGAAAATTTGGGGAATTTTGGGGAATGAGGGGGGAAATTTTGAGATATTTAGAGAATTTTTGGAGAAACTCAGGGATTTTTTTTTTGGAGAGAATTTGGGGGATTTGGGAGTTTTGGGGGAAATTTGGAATTTTTTTTGAATATTGGGAGAAACTCAGGGATTTTTTGGGAATTTTGAGGAAAATTTGGAGAGTTTTGGGGGGAATTCAGGCATTTTTGGGGAAAATTTGGGGATTTTGGGGGAATTTGGGGTAGATTGGGGAATTTTTCGGGACAGTTCAGGAGGTTTTGGAGAATTTTGGGGGAATTTGGGGATTTTTTGGGAAATTTTGGGATTTTAGGGAGTTTTTGGGGAAATTCAGGGATTTTTTTTATTTTTGGAGAAAATTTGGGGATTTTTTTGGAGTTTCAAGGGAAATTCAGAATTTTTATTGAATATTGGGAAAAAGTCACGGATTTTTTGGGGAAATTTGGGGAAAATTTGGAGATTTTTGGGGAGTTTTGGGGGAAATTCAGGGATATTCTGGGGATTTTTGGGAAAATTTTGGGATTTGGGGGGAAATTTGGGGGATTTTCATTCAAAATGAGACCACACCCACTCAGGCCACACCCACCGACCACGCCCTCATAGACCACGCCCCCAAATCCACATTCAGGCCACACCCACCCCAAAAACCACACCTTGAAACCCCTCCCAAACCCCAAAAATTCCTGGGTTTTCACCTTTTCCTCCCCAAATTTCACCCCAAATCAGACCACGCCCACTCAGACCACACCCGCCGACCACACCCTCACAGGCCACGCCCACCACTTCCTGGTTTTGACCCTGCCCAGCACAAACCACGCCCACACAACCTCCTCAAACCCCTCCCAAACTCTCCCAAATCTCCATTTTTTCACCTTTTCCTCCCCAAATTTCGTCCCAAATCCTCTCCCCACACCTGTGCACTCCTGTGCACAGCTGGCCCCGCCCCCCGGGCCACACCCACCCTGAGCCGACCCTTAGACAGGTCCCCAACCTCCCATTTTTTCACCACAAAATCCCCGTTTTTTCACTTTTTCCTCCCCAAATTTCGTCCCAAATCCTCTCCCCACCCCTGTGCACCCCTGTGCACAGCTGGCCCCGCCCCCCGGGCCACACCCACCCTGAGCCGACCCTTAGACAGGTCCCCAACCTCCCATTTTTTCACCACAAAATCCCCTGTTTTTTCACCTTTTTCTCCCAAAATTTCACCCTGAACCTACCAAAATCCCACCCCCACACCTGTGCACAGCTGGCCCCGCCCCCCGGGCCACACCCACCCTGAGCCGACCCTTAGACAGGTCCCCAACCTCCCATTTTTTCACCACAAAATCTCCATTTTTTCACCATTTCCTCCCCAATTTTCACCGTAATTTCTCTCCCCACACCTGTGCACACCTGTGCACAGCTGGCCCCGCCCCCCGGGCCCCGCCCACCCTGAGCAGCTCCTCGGGCAGGTCGCCGCCGTCGTTGATGCCGCGGTTCATGGCCACGAAGCGCTCGGCCGAGGGCTTGTCGCGCACGTTGGGGTTGTGCAGGCTCGTGTTCAGCATGATCACCGCGAACGACAGCACGTAGCACGTGTCTGACACAGGTGGGACAGGTGGGACAGGTGAGCTCCTGGCACAGCCAGGTGAGCTCCTAGCGGGGCCAGGTGTGACCCTATCCCACCCAATTGTGTCCCTGTCTGCTCAGGTGTGTCACGCACGTCACCCCAAGTGTGTCTGTGTGAGCTCATGTGTGCCCAGGTGAGCTCCTGGCACAGCCAGGTGAGCTCCTAGCGGGGCCAGGTGTGACCCTATCCCACCCAATTGTGTCCCTGTCCCACCCAGGTGTGACCCTGCGTCACCCCAAGTGTGGCACAGCCAGATGTGGCTCTGTCCCACCCAGGTGTGACCCTGACTCAACCCAGGTGTGACCCTGTGTCACCCAAGTGTGACCCTGAGTCACCCAGGTGTGAGTTTGAGTAATCCCAGGTGTGTCTGTGTGAGCTCAGATGTGTCCCAGGTGTGCCCAGGTGTGCTCAGGTGTGTCAGTGACACCCCAGGTGCGTTACCTGTGCAGGTGAACACCCCGGGGTTGCACAGGCAGTAGCGCTGTGTGTGTCAGTGATACCCCAGGTGCGCCCAGGTGTGCCAGGTGTGTCAGTGACACCCCAGGTGTGCCAGGTGATCTCACCTGTGCAGGTGAACACCCCGGGGTTGCACAGGCAGCCCAGGTGAGCTCACCTGAGCGCCTGCACCAGGTTGAGGTCGGTGAACTCGTGCAGGTCCACGAAGGCGTGGAGCACGCCCAGGTTAAACTCCTCCCTGAGGGGCGGGGCCGGGCTGTCAATCACACCTGGCCACGCCCACCATCTCCTTCACCCATTTACCAGCACAGTCCTAACCCTGTCAATCATCCCTGGCCACGCCCACATCATCATTCACCCATTTACCAGCCCAGTCTAGCTCCTGTCAATCATCCCTGGCCACGCCCACATCATCATTAACCCGTTTAGCAGCTCAGTCCAGCCCCTGCCAATCATCCCTGACCACGCCCACTACCTCATTCACCCATTTGCCAGCACAGTCCTAACCCTGTCAATCATCCCTGGCCACGCCCACCACCTCATTCACCCATTTACCAGCCCTGTCAATCATCCCTGACCCTTGTCAATCACTCCAGGCAATGCCTCCCTTGGGAAACCACACCCACCCTCCTGTCAGTCATCGTGGGTCCAGGTTTGGCCACGCCCACAGGTTGAAATAAGCCCCGCCCACTGGCTGTCAATCATCGCTTCTCCCAGTCTTTCCCAGTGCTCCCAGTTCAATCCCAGGCTCCCAGTCCCCCTTTAGCTCCTCCCACTCCCTTCCAACCCCCGCAATCCCCCGGTAACCCCTCCCAGTCCCCATTAGCCCCTCCCACTCCCCGTTAACCC